TCTAACATCGTTAGGTTGATTTTCTAGGCACTTTATATATATATATACTATATAGATTACTAAATAAATTTTCTTTGTACAGAAAACCTAATAATCTAATAAGAGCAAACACCAGTGGTGTATACTAAATGGTTGTAGTAAACCGTTAACTCTAATCTATAGTTTGGTAATAAAATTTAAGCACATACATTTTTTTTCCTTCAAATTTTTGAAGAACGTCAGTAAAAGACCAACCTAACAACACATACATTGACACAGGAATTAAACTTCTAGCGACGACGTTATATTTCTGTTATTTATTTCATTTGGATACATGATAGATAAACCAAACGTTTCAAACGCAGGAAAAAATCAAGAAAATATCGTTTATAGTAAGAACACCGTAAATAAGGAACTGTGTAAAAAACAAGAAAAAAATAAATATCATCGTCTTTGTTTTTGACATGAATAAAGAAGAACATCACAGTCAGTACTGTTATTTAAATAGAGGCGGAAGATACCAAGGGGATATTCAAAACGCAAAAGTCGAGAGAAATTGGCAATAGTATGACAAAAAACGAAATAACAAACAAGTTTACAAAACACTACATAGAGAGCTAAAGGCTGAACAACAAGAAACCCACCAAAAACTAGGGTAATGTTTGGTGCTCCGGAAGGGTAAACGGATTCAGTCTCACTATTGGTACCCGCCGTGTTGCTCATATGGTTTGTACGAATTGTTACGATTCTTGGAACGTATCCGTGGTCATCTGTAAAACTCCGTTTTAAATCCTACTATCTTTGAAGACCCTTCTTTTAAAGTCTTTTCACTTCAATATTCTAGGGGAAATATGTATATGTTTTTGGTACCAATATATGCATAGCCCTAGCATAAACTATTGCACTGATGTTCAGTTATGAAATTGTTCTTTTTTCCCTAAGATCATGCAGAAGATAAGAAAATAAGTAATACATATTCATAAGATACAATCAAACTCATAATACTATTAATATTTATATTATATGTAAGAATTGACAATTATTATAGACGATAACACAGGGACAACAGATATATTATATTTATGAAAAAAGGAGACATGTAAGTCATTTTTAAAACAGCCACATACCAAGACAAACAAACCCGAAAGGCATCTGAATAGAATGCTCCATTTTTGCTGCAGGAGAATAACAAGCAATTATGTTGCATTTAATTTATATCGGCTCTCTAGTCTTCGGCTCGTTGATTGATATTGTAACAGTTATTTCTATTATGATAAAATTAATAATAATACTTGTAAATTACAATGAATTCTTTTCTTCAGGACAAGGTGGTACCAATTCTAAACCTACAGTGTTCCCGCCCCCTGTTATGACATACCTGTTATTTCGTGATTACATTTATAATTATGGAGATGACGAGAATGATTTTAACAATATATATGGACAACTACTCTACAACATATTGCTTCAGTCATTATTTGACACATATTGATATCTAAGCTGTCATTTACTTCATGTGCAATGTGTTCATTCATTGGGTCTATAAATTCCAAAGACGTTCAACATCAGGGAAATGTTAATTTAATAAACTATGTATTGTCTTAACTTTTTTCAATTTTCTCCCGTCAAAACTGAATTATATATTGACGTTTTTAGTTGTACATTTCATATAGTCACAAAGTTTATATTGTTTTTGTACTCTATATAATGCATTGAAAGATAAGTCGGGCGCAAAAATATACATTTAATTCAACATTTCAACAATACATTAGTGGCATCAATCCATTACGAAGGTATGAATCAAAGTTAATAACAAAATCTGAGGGTTTCCTATGAACTTCAAATGCAGTTAGATCGGATAAGCGAACATACACTCAGCGAAAATATCCCTTTCGAAATGACACAATCGGCAAATTTACAGATGAGATGCCTATTCTTTTATCTATTTAAAGTTCTAAGAGCGTGAAAACATGTCGATACACATCGTATCGGTCAACCAATTCGTGACTTATGTAGTGTAGATTTTCTTCATAACTTTGTCGGGTCGGAGCAGTATTTGTGTAAGGAGCACTTCCTTGTCAATGATGTCCGTATAGTGTGAACATGCACACGCGCGACGTATTAATTGTGATATGTATACACTATAAGATGGGACAGAGGGTACTATGATACAGCTGAGAAATGAGAAGTTGAAAGAGGTAGATAATTCATCGCGTTTGTCATAGATTCTAGCTTGAAGTCCACCTGTTTCAATATCGAGGAAAATTTCAAAATATGAAGCGGACCTTCTAGTTTCGGTAGTATCCTTAATCTCAAATTCACTAGGATACATGATATGCAATCACTCACGGAACCGTTGGTTATTGAGTGACAGGACACCATACGTATATATGAAAATGAAGAACTTTGTAAGATGCTTTTTATTTTTGACTTGGAGAAGGTCCTGTTGGAATTCTTTTTCATATTAGTACAAAAACAAGTCGGCTGGTGAGGGTGAAGGGCACAATAAATACCTATTGGAATAACGACTGTCTGTAGAAATATCAATCAGCCAAACTCAGCAAATATGTTGTCAATCAAAAAGTCCAGCATTTTATGATATGATTTTGTTATATAGGATTTTACTGTTTATATGTTTACCTCTACATGCCACTGTCAACGCAATGCTAAACCATATTGTTTTTGGGATTCCGCAAACATTGATTCAGAGTTATACAACATAATGAACAAATGTTCTACAACTGTAGAAATGTGATATACATACTATTGTAGGCCAATTGTTTACCATTTGTCTATAATCAATTCATTATGTACAATTATTTCTGTTTCTGTGAACTGTTTGGTCCGAAATGTCGAAACTACTTTTTCACATTTTGGTTTTTTGCTGTTAAAATTGGCACACAACGTGATTTGAACAAGTCTTACACAAAGATGCCTTATTCGACATACGCCGTAAAATTGAAATAAACTGATTGTCCCAAGTCAGGAGCCTGTAATTTAGTGGTTGTCGTTTGCTGCTATATCATGTTTGTTTTTATTTGTTTTGTACATACATCAGGTCGTTAGTTTTCTCGTTTGAATTGTTTTACATTTGTCATTTCGGGGCCTTTTATAGCTTACTATGCGGTATTGGTTTTGTCCATTGTTGAATGCCGTACGGTGATCTATAATTGCTTGCATTCACCTCATTTGAACTCTGGTGGATAGTTGTCTCATTTGCAATCATACCACATCTCCTTATTTTTATATAGTTGTTAACTTCTATGCCTTTGGTCTCTGGTGGAGACTCTTTTTTTCCTTTCACTTCAATACAAAACTACACAAAATTAAGGATTGACACATGGGTAAAATGCCCGTAATTGCAAAAAAAAAAATGGGAAAATGACTTTCTTTAATATCGATTTCGTAATGTTGGTGAGGTCTTCAAATTTTTCCAAATCATCAAGACTTTTTCTACAATTTCAACATCGAAAACAAATGAGTCGAATCCTTAAAGATTGATTGTTGATTGTTGTTTGACTAACATCGAGTAGAGATATTTCATGCATATGTAGGGCGAGAACAAATTCAAAATACATCCAATTTGTATAGGTTTGTAATATTGGTTGTCTTGGATTAGATTGAAAATGTAGGGTGCAAAAAATAGGAATAAGGGAATCTTCTATAGGAAAGGAAAGTGTGCCTGGCAACAGGTCACCAACGCAACCGTCAAATAGTTGTTGCTAGGGTTTGTTCACATGCAGAGAGCGTGAAACTCGCCCTGTATGAAACATCTGCCATGTTAAGATATCCATAAGGGTAATCAGTTCCAGCTTCACACCGATTGGGTTTTTTTTTCTCAAGGCTAGTAAATATTTTGGAATTTCATAATCGAAGTATTGAGGACATGATTGTCTTAACGGCACATTCGTGGTTATCTTTGACACACATGTTACATAACTGTCAACAAAATCATGAAAATTAAAAGAAAAACAATTCTTGATTTTTTTACGATAACCAAAACTTAGTCCAATAGCTTCCTTGTAAGCAGAACACTATATAACAGAAATCATCATCGGATAGAAAAAAAGCAAGACCTATCATATCGTATCAATCGATAGATTAATGCTCCTCGTGTAAGCGCTGCTGGAATGTTGAAAGTTCGAAATGGGAAAATTTTAAATTTCAAATTATCACTTTAAAATAGTAGTGTATTTACCATTACAAGTTGTTAATTTTTATATGCAAATACAGATATGAAGCAGATTTAATTGTATCTGTGGTATTCCTTATTTCAAGTTTGATTGGATAGACATAATCTATATAGTAACCAAACTTTGAATGATTCAGTTAGTCGATACCCTCTTTGTTGTGTTGCGAGGTTGAAACATAACGCTAGTTTCTTTTTTCCGTCTTTAACACCTCATTCGTGAAGCCTGTTTCCTAAAAAATAAGGATCAAGAAGAGGAGCACAGGTTATTCCCATAGAAATGGCAATTGTTTGTTGAAAACACGTCCACCATAACGCTACAAATATGTTGTAAATAAAAAGATCCAGGATCTTAATGATGTCAGTCATTGATAACTTTTTGTTTGAATTAGAGCTATTTTTTACAGTTTGATTTATCCCTTCCTAAACAATAATTTGTATCTAAGTTGGCCATTTTTAATGAAACAAAACTGGACCAATTCCTTCAATCTGTCTTTAAGTTTAGAATGATCAAACGTGTGTAAAGGGTAGAGAAACAAGCGTTTTTTTACTGTATCACGCTTAGTGTATACATGCTATAAATGTGGATTATGTATAATTTGTTATATCCAATAAGTGTAGATAATGTTTTTGCATTAGTTCGTCTGACATTTTTAACAAACAAGTAAAAAATGAATAAATTTATACAAATTTTAAAAGTCCCTCTTTCATATCTAGAGTTTTATGTTTTATATAAATAAGAATTGTCGGGCGAAAATTTGTCTTTTGACAAACAATTTAGGTTGAATCTAAACTGAAATGGAAGTACAACTATCATAGAAACAACAGTTACTGAATTTTTAATTTTTTTTAAAGCAGATATAAAAAAGAAACACATCAGACATATATAATAAAAACGAAATGCTTGGACTTTCTATTTTGTTCTGCATTTTCAGATTTTATTTAAATAAATGATGCATAATTGCAATTCTGTTGATAATTTGCTGTTAAAACTCATATTATTTGATGATACCATCTCATTTGACGACATATTCATCTTTTTCTGTGATCCAATAGACTATTTGATGATAATAACCCTTTATGCACATGTGTCACTTTATCAAATGCATCTAGTGTAGATCTGGTAAGCACAATTATACTTTGTCGAATAGTTCTTTTTTGATATATCAGGTAATATAAAAGTAAGGAGGTGAGGTATGATTGCCAATGAGACAACTATCCACCAGAGTTAAAATGAAATGGATGTAAGCAATTAAAGGTAACAGTACGGCCTTCAGCAATGAGAAAACCCATACCGTATAGTCGTCTATAAAAGGCCTCGACATGAAACATGTGAAACAATTCAAACGAGAAAACCAACGGCATAATTTATTTTCGATAAACAAATATGACAGACATGAACCACTGAACTACAAGCTCCTGACTTGGGACATAAAGAATGTGGGTGGATTAAATATGTTTTTGGGCGCTGAACCCTTCCCTTACCTGGGAAAATGATGTAACAGCACAACATAAGAACAAACTGTAAAAATTAGTAGCAATTAGCTAAACTTAAAAGATGGGTACGAGGCACAAAAACAACTAGCATAAAACAATAGAAACAAAGCACCGAAATATATATAATAGCATCAGTGATGTAGATGTAGAAATATATATAATAGCATCAGTGATGTAGATGTAGAAATATATATAATAGCATCAGTGATGTAGATCTAGATGTAAATGTAGAAATATATATAATAGCATCAGTGATGTAGATCAAAATATGTAAATGTTGTTACAAATACAAATGGAACTGAATCATTGAATTATAAGCGAAGTATGACAACACATAATATAAAAACAATGAAATATGGTAATTGAACTATGAATTATGAATCTTATCAGCTATACAAAGGCATTTACATAAGTTGGTAAGCTCTTAAATGTCACGAACAAACAATAAATAGTATAAGTTTATAACAAGAAGGTTTTTTTTTCTATAAAAAGGTTTTATATATGTCTTTCTTACATCAAAATATTTATCACATTCCAAAAATACAATGGTATTCATCTCAATAAGAAAGACTATGCAATAACTAAATTATTGAATCACACAAAGCTCACTAAAAACCCTAACTTTCTAGCTAGTTCTGATTCTTGAACATTTTTTTTTTCAAATTCCATTACTATGCATCCGACCAGCGTTCGTTGCGATCTGTGAAAAAAGAAAATAAGAAATAAAACTACATGTTATTTATTTGAAAAAAAAATGCTTAAACTACATTACTGTCCTACAAAATATTTGCTTGTTTTTTTTTCTTTTTCAAAATTCCACCAAGAGTTAGTCAGGAAGAAGATCGCAAACGTATACAACTGTATAATTATATACTAGTACGTGGAATTAGCTAAAAATCCGCAGATGAGGCAAACAAGTGCAGACAATAGACTTTAATATTTCTTGGGTTTTAAAGACTGTTATCGTGTAAAATATATCAACCATAACTTAAAATAACACTTTATAAATTTCTTGCGCTCGATGCGCTTTTCTGGTTTTACCTTCACCTTCAATACTCAAACCTAAACACTTGAAAGCCAGGGATGGATAAATACGTAAAACCTTTAGGAGCTATATGACCATAACAAACGTGAACTCATCTTTGTATAGCTTCTTTCGAAAACACAATGTCTTCCTTAAAATCAAGACTAAAATGTTTTTTTTTTACTGCATTGACAATCAATTTACCAGGACATTGCACAATATCTGTGTATGATGTTGTTATACGAAATCTTCTTTGAATAACAGTTACCGAGAACAAATTAAAGGTAGAATGCATCTTCATATAATGAAATTAACTATTAACAAGCAAAAGTGAAATGACTTGCAGCACTTCACTGCCTATATGCAATAAGTGTATTTTTGATTTTTATCGCAACGAAAGGAAAATCATCAACTGCAACTAGATCTGATGACGCCGCCGAATTTATCGAAAAGACCAGTTCATTTAATAGGAAAGATTCATTTAGTTTTGTAAAGTCACCGTGAGTGCATCCTATAAAGTGTAGAACAATCATTAGCATCAAAGGCGACACATTGCCCCGGTTATTTATCCTATTTTTTCCCAGATAATATGTGTCATGTTTACATGGTCAATTACTTGTACGACCATTAAACACAAATGTTCGTTCAATGGTACACTAATATAATAATGCACTTGATCGGTTTATATAAAAACACGTATCATAAACAAGAACATTCATATGTTGAGAATAACACATCGTTAAAAATTTTAAAGGGAATGAACAAAAATTTATGGGGAGTTGCTATTTGGCATTATGCAAATCTTAAGCTTCGTCTTTATCATTAGCACACAAACGCTTAATCGTCTTTCGATACAAAGTCTATCGTACAACAATTTGCTAAAATTTCACTTTAGCCAATGATAATCGCTCTTCAGCTTTTCAATCGTGTTTCGAAGTTCAATGGAGCGTTGAAGTTAAAATCTAACAAATATATGCGTATAAATTCTGATATTGATTGTATTCTAAAAAATGTGCGTGTCAATCTTGAAATTAAATAAGGTGAAGGCTTATCTAAGGGTAGTGCTGTTGCTGTGTCAGAAACGTAGGAGCAATTATTTTCTTACACTAGACTGTATCAATATTTGTATTAATAGCTTACCTCCGGCGTCCTTGTAGTAGTTCCCTCCACCATAGTAGTTATATGATCTGTAAGAAGGGTAGTAACTCCGTCGGTAATATGGTCTACGGTAAACTGAAATAATAATCATACTCTATAGTCCTGGAGAGTTATTATTTTTAAAGTAATGATATCTGTGTAATAATCTAAGTCAGGAGTCGTAATTCAGTGGTTGTCGTTTGTTGTCTGTCATATTTGTTTTTAGTTTATTGTTTTGACATAAATCAGGATATGAATATAATACAATTTTATGGTTCCACTGATCGAGTTTAAAAGGTGGAGGTAGAGATCTAAAAGAAAAGTTTAATCCTGCCTTATATACATGCGCATACGTGGTTGTATAATGTCATATCATAATGTTGGTGTTTTTTCTTGAAGAGAGTGTTGTTACTGGCAGACCTTTTTTCTTCTGTATGATTTATTCAAAACATTTCTAAAGCTTGACATATGGTATAGACACTCGTCTTTTGAAAGAGACTTTTCTTCTATATCTATTGATGTCTTTGGATGTTTGAGTCTTTGGATGGTTGTGTCTTTGGATTTTTGTGTCTTTGGATGTTTGTGTCTTTGGGTTGCTGTCTTATTGACGTTTCTCCGTATTTTGTTATATTCAACCATACAAACTTTTTATATCAGAAGTTCCTAAAATTACTTACAAAAAAATCTTGCATATCCACTTGCTACAAGAGTAAACAGAATCAAAATAATGGCCAGTCGCATTTTGCTGATAATTTTGACTGTCTGAAATTAAAGGAACATTTTAATTAATTTTAGAGGTTACGCATCTTGGATTTCTTGATATACTAGGATGTTATAAATGGTCGGATTTCAATAGACTATTGAGTTGATAATGATTTAAAAGAAAAAACTATAATCACATGACAAAACCAAAACTACAGAAACAATGCATGCTTTTATTGCTGTTGCACATCCCAAAGTCACAGTGAGGCCTTCAGTAAAAGCTCAAACTTCACAGCTTTTTCAAGACGGCCCTAGCCCAGGTTGAGCAGAATTCTTTGATCAATGCTGATCATCATACACCTGTGTCTAAGAACACAGCTGGGAGTAACATCAACAAATTACACAGCATTATGGACAAAGACATATAATGCATGATAAAGAAATGTTGTCTTCGCAAAGTTTTTGGTCGAGGCACATACATACTTCCATTAGTATTTGATCTTAGAGAATAATTATTTTGATGAAATGATTTAAAAATGTCACAGAAAAAATTGGAGCATAACTTTTATTGATTTATACATAAGTACTTCTCTATCATATTCAATTTTATTCTTCAATATAGCCAACTGAGTTGTTAAAACAGTTAAAAAGGCGAAAATCATATTTTGCATTAAGAACAATTCTTGCAGCTTTGATTATTGATTCTGCAATTTATCTTTGAGTTTTTCTTTTTTTTTTCTTTTTTCGTATTGCTTTTTAATTATATGAAGATAAAAGATTACGCACATAAACTCAAAATATTTTAAAAGTTCCTTCAAAGAGCTAACTAATATTCTGAAATTCACTGCATCTACAATGCCACCCTACCTGCCACCCTGATCCGTTGTGAGTGGTATTAAAATAGAAATAGCAAAATTAAAATAAAATAGATAAATATTTATGCTCAGAATTATATATCATAATAAATATAAATAGGAAGTCTTTACCTTCATCTTGTCCTGTGAATATTAAACCGCAACACAGCAACTCTTACTTATAACCATTTACATTTATGCCATACTAAATTTAGAATCATGTCAGTGAACTATACTATTTTTAGTCAGATGGATAATCTAATTCTAGTTACTTTTTGGTAGTAAAGTATGACCAATATAGAAACCTATAAATTTATCATTAGAGACGCCAGAATAAAGAACAATCATTGCACTTAACAAAACATAAGCCAATTAAGTAGTGACACCTGACACCTAAAATAACAAAAATTTTGGGCAGTAGTCTGCAAAAACATCATAAAATTAATAAAATGTCAACTTTTGTGAATAAAGACTAGATCATTATAACTTCCAAGTAGTTTATATAATGGCTTTTAACATAAAATACATAAATTTCAATTCTTTAACAACTTAAAGTATGACAGTTACAGTAGTAAATGCTGCAGGCTATAGTATATAAAATGGTACTGGATAAATGTTCACTTGAGCCCTCAAAGTCAAGGTGCAAAAGGACAAAAATAGGGATTCAAACAATCATAAGCCAGGTACAAACAGACAAAAATTGGAGTGCAAACAATTAAAGGCAATGTACAAACAGACAAAAATGGGAGTGCAAACAATTAAAGGTAATGTACAAAAAGACAAAAATGGGAGTGCAAACAATTAAAGCGATGTACAAACAAACAAAAATGGGAATGCAAACAATTAAAGGCAATGTACAAATAGACAAAAATGGGAGTGCAAACAATTAAAGGCAATATACAAACAGACAAAAATGGGATTACAAAAGATAAAGGCAATGTACAAACAGACAAAAATGGGAGTACAAAAATAAAAGGCAATATACAAACAGACAAAAATGGGAGTACAAAAGATAAAGGCAGTGTACAAACAGACAAAAATGGGAGTACAAAAATTAAAGGCAAGGTACAAACAGACAAAAATGGAAATACAAACAATTAAAGGCCAAGTACAAATAGACAAAAATTAGAAAACAAACAACTGAAGGCCAGGTACAAACAGACAAAAATGAGAATACAAATAATTAAAGTCCAGGTACAAACAATCATAAGCAAAGAAACACAAAGACAAAAAAAGGCGAACAAACAATCATATGCCAGGTACAAATAAGCAAAAATAGGAGTATTACAGTCATAGGCTAGGTACAAACAATCATAAAAAAAGAAGAAGAAAAAAACAGACATACATTGGAGTACATGCAATCACAGCCAGGTACACACAGGCAACAATAGTATAAAAACAATCATAAGCAAGGAACAAGCAATCATAGCCAGGTACAAACAGACAAAAATGGGAGTACAAACAGTGAAAATGGCATAAACTCCAAACGTAATGAGATCATATGGATCGACAGGGTGCGCATCACCTACTATGGATGCATTACCCGTCCATTCAATAAAATTCAAAGACTGATCCAGTACATGAAGCAAGATCCATAACACAACAAAACCAGTAACAGTATAAGATATATTACAGAATAAGTGCATCATCAGTGAGTTGAGAAACTGGGACAATTTAAAGATCAAACAATTCATGGAACTTGCGAAGTGAACATTTGAGTCTTGCTTTCTCATATCCTTGCTAGAGCAGTAATTCTATTTAAAAGTTTACATCTGAATCCATTGTTTGCTTTTACTAGTAATATGTACAACATGTAGAAATGACTATGATGCATTTCTTACTTAATCAAAAGAAGTTTCGAAAGAGTGTTTTACCATCGATTTATCGAAGAGAATCAGTTCTAAAGATTTAATTTTGCATCGCTCAACATTTTCTCAAGCGTCATTTTTTTTTGGAACATATAAATGTGGATGCATTACATTTTGATACATTCTGAAATATGACGTGACTCGGACAAGCATATTGTAACAGTATTCAAATTTGCAACAAATTATCCAATGTATATAACAAAACATCAAACAAATAAACAAACAAACTAACTAGCAAATAAGCAAACAATAACCCCCCAAAAAATCAAAAACAATGAATAAAACAAATATTTTTAAAAAGTCATTGTAACAATTCTGCTTAAAATGAGAAAAAGCAATGTATTGTGTAAATGTTTATATGGACAAAAGAAAATAATCATACAAACAAAAAATGTAGATTGTGTAGATTACATTTATGAACAAATGGAAACACATTTACCTGCCTTTTGTCCAGTGAATATCAGTGGAAAGTAAAAGCAATTTTTTATACATTTTTATACAAGACATGGAGGAAGTATGCATAATAAATAAATATAAATGTCAGATTGTGATACTACAATCATCGATTTTATCTGTACATAAAAAAAAGAATGTAAAAACCTACACCAAACAACAGTGTTTTTACTTTTTGTCGATGTGTATAGGAGTAAGTGTTTAATGTTAACACATAAGTGGCTAATTGTAATATTGAGCACTTGACCATCACTATTGAATCGTCATGAAAACAACAAAAACGCATAAAAAATCGTGTAAAAATCATCAGTTTTTTGTCAAGCTATAATATAAAAGACATCTCTCTAATTAGGTCAGCATGTTTTTCTTGTAAGACATTAGATCAAACAATAAATTTAGGCTATCTTGCAATATTTTGTAGACAACTTCTTAACTAATCAAAGTACTGAAGTACTGAACATCGGATGACCGCAAGTTCTGGTGGATAGTCACAGGCACTTGTCTCAGAAAAAATAAAATATCTCTATACCTGAAAGTTAGATTAAGGTACATAGATATATTTTTTTCTGAGACAAGTTCCTGTGTGGAGGATGAATAAATGACAGAGAATTCAACCTCATCGTAATAATTATTATATTGTAGTGATATAATCATGGGACAATCAGTTGTTATCAGTATAATCTGGTTTGTTGTTATATATTATATTAATATTTGTACAACAGTTATATATATAGCAGATCATCTTAATAACTCTACCATCAAATTTTATTTTATTTCAAAATTTATGCCATCATTCTATTCTACTATTCTAATGATAGTGCAGTGCAAGTGCATGGTGGACACTCTTCTGTAATAATTCGTTTTTCTAATAGGTTTGATTTGAGTAGGCATTCACATTTCTCCCGCTGATGAAATTAACAAGCGATAAGAGATATTCATCCGCAAACACAATTTTTCGGTACGTGTGCATAGATATTAATGTTTTTTTACTTATATATATATATATATATATATATATATATATTTCTCACGACAAAACATTTTCATATTATTCATTTATGTTCTTAAAAAATATTATCATGAGTATTCATTGAGGAAATGAATTTATAACAAGCGATACGGAATGTTTTTTTGCACTCGATAATATCCGCGTATTTATACGAAATACGTTCGGTTATCAGTCAAAAACGCAAGTCACGTGGGTAGAAACGTCTGCGGCAACATAACACCGGAATGCCCTCATGGTCATCCGCTGTAAAAATCATCTGGCTATTAAGTTTGAGTACAGTTATTAACTCCCAACAGCAAACAAGAAACCTTAACACATCCAATAAGAAACTCTACTTTAAATCTTATTACTAATACGATATAAATACTAAAAACTAAATAAAATATAATGCTTTTCGAAAACGTCGTCGTCGTTGTTTTGACATAAGTTCTATATCAAAATACTTGATGTGAAAACTGAAATTGCAAATTTCCGTAGGTCCATATCCATTTATATCGAAGATAAGCTCGTATACATAGACCATGTCTCAACAACGACTGAAATAAAAGCTTCTACTGAACATCATAAAATTCCCACTATGTATATCAGCGTCCAAATTTACATTTGGAATCTTCCACGTGCATTTTGATACCTGCACCCAGTAAATTTTCAACTACAAATATACCTATATTTTGGCCTTGCACAAGGTCGTGTTTTTCTCTGATTGTAAATGACGTCTTTACGCTATATCCACTGGATGTTGGATGTGTACTGATTTATATTTTAGTCTTATATACATATTTATTTTAATAGTTGTAAGCTTTGAACCAGCTTTCAGTAACTGCGAGTTATCTCAGATCTGTACTTTGCGTCTTTTTTTAAGTAGTTGTTTTGCCTTGTATCGATCTGATGAGTTAAGCCTTTTTCAACTGAATTTTATAGTTTGATCTTATATCCCAGGTTAAGGAAGGGATGTGCGCCAGCAAACATATTTAACCCCGCCACATTCTGTATGTCCCTGTCCTAAGTCAGGAGTCTGTAATTCAGAGGTTGTCGTTTGTTGCTGTATACCGTATTTGTTTTTCGTTTATGGTTTTGTTCATAAATCAGGCTGATAGTTTTCTCGTTTTAATGGTTTTACATTTGTCATTTACGGGCCTTTCATAGCTTACTATGCGGTATGGGTATTGGTCATTGTTGAAGGTCGTACAGTGACCTATGGTTATTAACTTCTACGTCATTTGGTCTCTGGTGGAGAGTTGTCTCATTGGTAATCGTAACAGTAAATTCGGTCCGGTAGTAAAATGTGTCCACCGTGACCATAACTTTACTAAGTCCATAGCTAGTAAAATATATCTGTATTCTCATTTTTTTCTATGAAAAAAGTCCCTTTCAAATGACATTCTTTAAATTAGTCAATATCAAAATAAAGAAAGGAACATTTATAATTATGTAAGTCATAAAAGTCTGTGATGTCAATTTTCCTACGAAAAAAAGTCAGTTTAATCTTAAAAACAATTATCTTCCATTGTGTACATGTAAAAGATTCTTTCATTACAAATTTTCTTATCAAAATAAAGGACATGGACGTTTTTACCCAGGAATATTAATGACCTGGACTTGAATTCCTAGGAAAATCTGAGCACATGAATTTTATTAAAAGATTAATGCACAACTGTTAAACAATATTAAAACATACGAACTAAACATTCAATTGTTTACATGTAAATGATGTCTTTCATTTTACACATGTTCCGAGTGAAATAAAAGACATGGACGTTTTTGCCTAGGAATATTGATGACATGGACACGGATTCCTAGGAAAATTAGTCTGGGTACATAAACTGCTGACATCGGACTAAATGCAGTAACTGCTAGTAGTCTGTTGTTATTTATGTATTATTGTCATTTTGTTTATTTTCTTTTGTTTCCTATTCTGACATCGGACTCGGACTTCTCATATACTGAGTTTTACTGTGCGTACTGTTGTGCGTTTGTTTTTACTACATTGGCTAGAGGTATAGGGGGAGGTTTGAGATCTCAAAAAACATGTTTAACCCCGCCGCATTTTTGCGCCTGTTCCAAGTCAGGAGCCTCTGGCCTTTGTTAGTCTTGTATCATTTTTAATTTTAGTTTCCTGTGTATAATTTGGAGTTTAGTATGACGTCCATTATCACTGAACTAGTATACATATTTGTTTAGGGGCCAGCTGAAGGACGCCTCCGGGTGCGGGAGTTTCTCGCTGCATTGAAGACCCATTGGTGGCCTTCGGCTGTTGTCTGCTCTATGGTCGGGTCGTTGTCTCTTTAACACATTCCCCATTTCCATTCTCAATTTTAATAAATTATGTTACCATGAACTTTTTATACATGTAATATTTGTCCGCCCGGACACATTTTACCAGGACTAGTATATATCTTACATGTGTAAATCATACCATATCTTCTTATTCTTAAGATAAAATTATACCAACTACAAATATACCAATGAAATGTATCCACGTGAACCTGCTCTTACTTATTCCAACTTTAAAATTGATTTTTGTTTTTGTTTTTTTTTTTTTTTGTAAGACCTTAATATTTGAATTTCTCATCATAATCTTCATACCGAAATACATGTTTAGCGGAACTATCATTTAAAATTGTATTTTTTTTTTATTAAAATTGATCATAATAATTATCGTATCGAGTTGGTACCACGAATTAGATAAGACAAGACAACATATTTACTGTCTAAAAGGTACATCTCAACAAGATCAAAACGGCAATCCTCATCGACTGAAAGAGGTATCCTTTGATTTTCATTATGACCGATGTATACTATTTGAAAGAATGCTGTTTTTTTTATTATACAAAATGAATGCAAAAGAGAGGCGACGATACCAAAGGGACATTCAAACTCATAAGTCGAAAATAAACTGACAATGTCATGCCAAAAGACGAACAACAGTATACAAAACACAACATAGAAAACATAATACTGAGCAACACGAACCCCTAAAAAACCGAGGTAATCTCAGGTGCTCCGTAAAAGTAAGCAGATCCTGCTCCGCCAGTGACGATCACATTTTGCATGAAGCACGGAAGACATTTGATATACATGTACATGTAACACAGGAAAAAAAGGAAACCATAAAAAATGAATATATTTATCCATCATGTTATTTGTAATTTGTGGGATATAAATTTAAGTTGTTTAAAGTAACATCAAGGAAAAGGGAATACATTGCCAGAAAAAAATGGTAAAACTTAAAGACACAGCAATTTCCTAAAATACAAAAAATACCAATATGTCAAAGACTCTGCATGGTTACACAATTTTGATTTTTAAATTTTTTGTTTTGTTTGTCTTTTTAAAGAATTTTCGCTTTTAATACTTATCTGTGCCGCTATGAATAGGTCGCTAGAAATAACAGAAATAAAGAAACTTTCAAATTAAAACATCTTTCAAAATTATTCATATTTATATATATATTATTAGAAATTAAAACCGGGCGTCAAAGTTAAATGTGAAACTACTTTCGCTAGGTGCGACGTGAATCAGATGTGAATACAGAAAAAATCAGAAGATCTAGCTGTTAGAGTACATGCAATATAAGTATCTTTACTCGTGCAATAGAAGAAAAAAAAACATTTGACTAATCCACCCTTTACACTAATATTATTCATTCGTTCCTTTAATAGACAGTGTAAGTATTTGTCCAAATATGTTCATAAAAAAGGCCAACGTAAAGACACAAAGTACCAATCTCATAGTACTCGGAGTTACTAAAATATAATAATTTAAAATAATTATGTACCCAAGACTAAAATATCAAGTAGTACACATCCAATGGATTTGAGTAAAGATGTCATAAACAGTCCGAGAAAAACATGATCTTGTACATGCCAAAATATAAGTACCAATAGAATGTAAGATCGTAAATAATCATAGCTGTATAGCAAAAATATTTATTTATGTTTTAATCTACTGATAACAAAACCAATATGTGTACAGATAAAAACAATATTCAAAGATCTTTCTCAAAGATCTTATAACTGTGTTAAATTGATAAC